TCTTGCAGGAATGTTGGGAGGACCAAGAGACATAAAATGAGTGTAAAAATAATTTGAAAACCAGAAAACAGTGTTTAAATATACCTTGCTATCATTTATTATCCTTGTTGGTAATTGTTATAGAGATTCTCAAACCTTAAGAAGCAATGGCTAAGTGTAAGTTATTCAACCTCACCAGCATTCATTCTCCTCATTTGACAAATTTAAAAAAATAAAATGATGTAGTTCTAAAATTTTTTCCAGCTACAAAATTCTGACTCTCCATGATTGCCAGATGGAAGATTATACCAGGAAATAAATAAATACAAAAATATTCCTGTCACTTGAGAACACAAAACTGCCAAACATACCAAAAAAAAAATGACTACTATCTACTGAAAGTTAGCACTAAGTTAGGTGCTTTCCATTTATTATGCAATTTGATACTCTTATCAATCCTTTGATTTCAGTACTACTATTTCCATTTTATTATCTCAGTTTCACAGATGAGGAACTGAAACTGAGAGAGATTAAGTAATTTCCCAAGGTCACCCAGGTAGGGAGTGGCTGTATTAGAAATTAAACTTGGGGCAATCTATTGTCAGGGTCACAGTCATTGTTTGTAGATATCATGCTGTATTCCCAGACACTGTCTTCAACACTTTTACATACCTTATAAATACAGTTACTGCTCAGGTCCATGGCACTCCAAAACCAGCTGTCTCAGGGAGATTCTCTGACACTTTTTACATCCTAGTAGATTTAGAACACATCTATGTTGGCTATGGTTCTCCTGAACCAAATTCATACCTCAAGGAGGCTCTTTGAACCCCGGTAGGTACAGGAGTGTCAGTGTGGGACACCTTATAGCGAGTTAGTAATTTGTTCTAAGAGCAGTTCATTAAGCCAAATCAGCTGGGCACACTGAAATTTGTAGATGTCCAGGATGCTAGTCATCTTGTTTGTGACCCAGGCTTTAAAGTACACGCTAAGATATATGCTCAAGTACCAGATGTTCCATTTGTCTCCCAAGGAAGACACCCAACAAGACCCTCCATTTTGGTGACTGGACTTGTTCTGTTAACAAAGCCAGATCTTTATTTCAAAAAGAAAAAAGACCCAAAAACCAAAGACAAGAAAATTACATGACATATTGTTCCTTAAAATTACATGAGCATTGTTCCTTAAAGCCCAAGACCCATAAGCTTTTCAGACATCATCAACTCCACCTTAGTATTACTTCTAGTCTTACTAAAGAGAAGTTGTTTTAACCAAAAATATCTCCATTCATGGCATTTATTCATGGTTTATTGTGTGTCTTAGACTTTTCAGAGGGGAGAAAGAAGAGAGGAAAGAGAGATTAGAATCTGTATTTGCAGAGTTAGAAACAATATAAGATATACAGGATGGTTACAGCATGGAGAACAAGGAGATTTCATGAAATGGACAAGAGAAAAGACAGAGGAGAGTACCTCCTAACAGTCTCCCCCATTACCTTACCCTCCTGTCCGAAAGGCCTTTCAAGGGTGGGTTTATGGACAGTGTAATTTCATCCATATTCCCCAAAGCACCTCCCATCTGCTCCAGGATGTCTGAATCCCCTTCCTTAATAGAGAACAAACACTTTTATTTCACAGTTAGAGATACAAAGCTTAGAATGAAAATGTCTAGTTGATGTAAGACTAAGACCAAAATCAATTCACACTACACTGTAGTCAGGCGGTCAGTCAGCAAGGAAAAAGGAAAAGATGGCTATCAGAGGCATTTATAGTCTTTGGTAGAGGAAAAAAGTTGAGGAATACATGGGGCAGGGTGCTCCTGGAAGAGGGCCGGCCTTGAGAGAATAGCTGAAGGGAAAGGAGGCTTGAGATTGCAGAAATAACTGCAAGTAGGTTCACAGCTCCTGTCCAAGGCCAGTAAACAGGACTGCGTCCAAGCCTCATCTTAGTTGATCTCAATAACCAGCCTCACCCAAGTAAGTCTGAAATGCAGCTACCCCATATGCCTGTTATATGGGAAGTCAGTATCCTTTGTTGAACAGATAAATGCCTTGTACCAGTGGCCTTTAAGAGAAAAATGAGTTATAGGCATGTACTTGTAATACTGTCTCAATTTCTGAAAAAGACTCATAAAGTTAGCCTGACTGATCAGCATGATGTTTACCTGACTAACAGCCTCTAAGGGATTTTACTTAGGTACCTCCAGACCCCTTTCCACAATCTGGTATCTGCTCACCAGCCTACCTTTTCCCCTATTATTAAAATATTAAAGGCATTACACCTATCCCAATTTCTAATTATTTACCTGAGAAACCTGGGTGTGACTATGTAAAAATTGCCAGTAAATTGTAAATATTGTCAAAATAGTAAAAAGTAAGCACTAAGTTCAGAATGGTGCTTTCTAAAATTAATACATTAACCCCATACACAAACTAACTCATTTAACTCTCGCAATAAGTCTACAACAGAGTGTTATTCACAGCTGCATTTTACAGATGAGAAAGTTCAGACACAAAGAGACTGAGTAACTTGCCAGAGTTCACATAGATAGGATGTGGCAGGGCCGGGATGTGAATCAAGCACACTGACTCCAGAGGCTTGCTCCTAAGCTCTATATTACACCACAACTGTGCGGCTCAGGCAACTGGAAGTCACTGGAATAGTTTCTAGTAAGACACGAGGAGGACTCATGCAATCATCCCAACTGAAAAACAAGGACAGATCCTGCTCGGAGGAACTGTTTGTGCTGTCTTAATCACCACCTCACAGATGTGAGCAAAACCTTTCCCTCAACAAAACTCAAAAACCAGGTTTGATAAAAATGTTTTGCCAGGTGGAGGGGAAAAGGTCATTGAGCAGTGCCACTGGGAAACTTACCCCACAGTTTGATTCCTGCTTGAAACAGTTTTCCCATGAAGTAGAAATATTTTTAGTAAATCATTGATCCTACTCTCAATCTGCTCACTTGCCATGCAGAGAAGAATCCATATCTACTGTAAGCACGGTGAAATAATCTCAAATACCATTTCTAATGATAGAGTCCAGAAATTTTCTCTGGAGAAAATTTCTATTTTGCTGCACACACGAAGCAATAGGAGGTCACTAGGAATCATGTGA